GGAAAGCACGACGCTCAAGTCAACGTTAACGTCGACGTCGACGTCAACATGGACGTCGACGTCAACGTCAACGCCAACGCCGACACCAACGTCGACGCATACAGAGCTTTTGAGGCTGGATGCGGTCATCCGAACCCCGGTTACTCTGGTCACACTCTTGCCACATCTCATCATCATCATCATCATCATCATCATCAACAGCTTCAACAGCATCAACAGCATCAACAGCATCAGCATAATCATCCGCATCCGCATCAGCATCAGCATCATCAGCCTCAACTCTATCAGCCTTCGGAGGTGGCCGGCTTCTCGACGCCCGGTCCGGTGGGACTGGAGGCCTGCTGGCGGCCGGTCAGCGCCGTCTCCGACTTGTCCGAGGCGTCGGAGGAGCCGACCGACATGTCGCGTCTCTGGAGGGTGGAGTACACGCGTCCGGTCGTGTCGACTGCCGCCTGCCAACCGGACGGTCAGTTCGTCTACTATCGACCGGTTGTCGGACCGGCCGACTCCACTTCGGACGCTCCGAGTCTGTTGCCAAGCGACTTGGACGTAGAGGGGATGGCGGCTTTCTGTTTCGGCCAAATGGAACGATTGGTCGGACGCACTTCTCGCCTCGAGACGCATCCCACCAGCCTCCTTTCCACGGACCAACCGCACTCGCCGGCACTTCTCCCTCCGCCGCCTCTTGCTCCACTCACCCCTTCGTCTCCCCTCCCTCCCCTCCCTTCCCTCCCTCAGCTCGTGCCTCCTTCACACACTACCTCCCCTTTTGGCCATTCTCACCCCTCGGCCTTGCTGCAACCAACACCTCCACTCTCCCCCTCCACGCTCCTTCCGCTACTGCCACAACACACACAACAACAACAGCAACAACAACAACAGCCACAACAACAACAGCCACAACAACAACAACAACCCGCGCGTCAGGAGCTCATGATGCCCAGTCAGTCCTGGTATGTGCATGCGATGCCGTGTTGATGCAAACAAGTGAATGCTCTGCGCGTTTAACACATCGTCAACCTTCGCACAATCACATTCACCGTCACCAACCCGCCAACCAACGTGAAACAAAAGCAATCAACCTCAGAAGAAGGCGAAAATTGCAACAAATCCTTACCACAACTTAGTCAAGCAGCTGACATAATCAATTTATCCGTCTATTCACCCACCAGCATCCACTCAGCCATGCATAGGTCCGTCCATCTTTCTGGCCACCCTTTAATGGTACATATTTCTTCATTAATTTTTACTTCAACTGAAAAAACACCGACGGACAAATTAATTGCTTACATACTCAAATTATTTCGTCTTTTCGTCGTTTACATCTCCGCCTTTCTCCGTTTCCCATCTTGACTGCCTGACCCTGCTTAACTCAAATCCATCTTGAGCAAATGATTAACTTGAACGGATGAATGTCCAGTTTTGGACACAACAACTCCGTCCAAGTTGAGCACTCGGTCCACCTCTTGTGCCAGCTTCGTCAGGCTCTGTTTGCCTTCGAGGCCCTGACAAGACAGCCTTACAATTGTACACTACACCCGGTTCACTTGGAGCATCCTCCCATCTCTGCACACGCCAATCGCCCCGCCGAGACCGGCCGAGCATTCAGCCTCTCGAGCATTTCAACCCTCGCCACTTCACTTGCACCATTCATCAAGTCTCATCCGAGGGTTGGAAGCTGCATTTCCCGGAATGCCTTCACCGGACCTTGGCCCTGTACTGTGACGCTAATTTTCACCTATTTTCACAACTTTCCTTCATTAAGTGCCTTGTATCTTTGTACTTCTTTTGCACGCATGCCGAGGTTGCTGCGCATGCGATCGCACCACTTGAGGAACAAGTTAATTTACACCTCAACAATATGCATTCTAACTTCGACCTGAATGGCTCTCGAGACGATTGACAATTATTGAATAAGAACTGAGTCACATCTTCGAGATCGAATTTTATTGTCGGTTAAACAAATGAGACTACTTATTTTACAGCAAAGTAGTTTTCGCAGTTATCAGTTATTCATAAATAATCACTTTATTCAATTGAATAGGCTAACGGATGTAAGAGTAGGGATCAGAGAGCAACGACGAGGTGAACAAGTCGGTCTTCGCTTTGACAATAATCTTGACTTGAACAAATTCTGCGAACAGTATCGCGACCTACTCATAATGTACATAAGTGTGACGCAGCCGATTGCTATGACAAAATATAGGTACATGTGAAGAAAAGTTGGGTTTCGAGAACTCTCTTGATTTGCAATTGTTGGTTCACTTCCATTTCGAGCTGTCAATTTGCTTAAATGGCATAATATTGTTGACGCTATTTCCGAGGCAATCGCCTTCGATACCGGTGAAAATGTGCAAAACTTTTGTCCGTCGTATGAGTAGTATCATCAGGACAAGGCATCATATTTACAATCATATTGAAGCTAACGGGTCAAGAAAACTGATCGGCTGTATATTTGCTGCATATGTGCTTTTGATGAGGTATAAAGTGATTTAATGATTTCGAGCTATATGCCAACCACGAAGCAGATGCTCGTGTCCTTTTGTGTATGTTTATGTGTCCTCATGTGTTCGTATATGTACGAAACTAGGAGGGCTAGCTCAAGGCACATAAACATACACAAACAGACACATGCGCATGCTTTGAGATTGACTAATCGAATCTTTCTGTACCTCATCAAAAGCTTAGATATGAATAATACATACAGAAGTGGGTTGACCTCGTTGTCGCCACTTGGTCTTGTTGTCAAGGCGACTTAGTAGAACGCACCTAGTCCGAAGTCGTCTGTCATAGTAGTTGTCATGATTCTCAGCATCAGACAGTGGACTTGGTACATCCTCAACCGTTTCGCCGGCATCGTAGTCGGCATCATCAGTCAGTTTTGCCAGTCTCCGCGCCAAGCTACGAACTCGTCAAAAGAGACAAGTGAAGTCAATCCCTCGACCGAAAACGGTTACACTATCACTCCTATTTCTGTCCTGGTCTATCTATCTACTCTTTACCCTCTTATCCCACTGCCGCCCCATCACAATTTCTCACTTGTGTACATTCCACTCGCCAAAATGAATGCTCTTTTGTGGCAAATCTAGTGTGGCCTCATTACACCCACTATTCACACCGACCCCGTCTCTTTCGATCGGCCGATCCGACTCGTACCTCCAACCCGGATCCCCACATCGTCTCGTAGATGCGTTCCTTTTCTTTCTGGTTGACCGATTTCACTCGATTCCAGACCAAGTGTGCATTTCACTCCAGGAGCTATTTCTCAAAGCTATAGAAGCATGTACATTGCCGCCTCACCGAGCAGAGCACCTAGTCTCTTTGACGAGTTCGTAGCTCGGTGCGGAGGATGACAAGACTTCGATGCCGGCATAACGCTTGAGAATGTACCAAGTCCACTGTCGGAAGCTGGGAGTCATGACAGACGACTTTGGACTAGGTGCGTTCTACCAAGTCGCCCTGAACACAAGACCAAGTTGCGACAACGAGGTCAACCCACTTCTATAAATTGAAAGGAGACTGCGACCATACCAGAGGTCACAACATTTTTGTCTTCGTGTCTTCAATACGTACAGAGTTTAGGGATAATTGGATGCATTTTTTTGACTTGTTAGCTAAATTATATTTATACGAATGATACGCTGCGCTGATGATGCCCATCATATGACGGACGAAGCTGTACAATTTTTTCTCACGAATCTAAGAAGAATGTCTCAGAAACAGCCAACCATCGTTTTTTGGTGGGATTGATCTCATCATCAAACCAACTTTAATGCGTGAATTAAGAGAGGCCTCACCACTTTGCGTGCCCAACCAATCCCCTTTAG